TTGTTCAGGAATAAAAGTGATGGTGAAATATGTTAGTTTTGTGATTAATTTTCGTCTTTTGTTGGAAATATTTTCTAAAGGTTGTTAGTCTGTAATATTGGCTACAAAAGTTGTTTAAATTGCAATTTACCCTTAAAAAAAAACAGGTCATTCTTACATCTCAGTGATAATATATGTATATATATATATATATATATATATAATATTAAACAAGTACAAAATGAGATGATATGATAGAAAACATAAAGTGTGAGATTTCAAGTAGGCCTTGATCATCAGTAATGCTGCTTCCACAATCACACCCTGAACCTTTTTTAAGTACCACTTTAGCTATATATAAATATATATATATAATATTAAACAAGTACAAAATGAGATGATATGATAGAAAACATAAAGTGTGAGATTTCAAGTAGGCCTTGATCACCAGTAATGCTGCTTCCACAATCACACCCTGAACCTTTTTTAAGTACCACTTTAGCTGCTTCTTGGATTGGCTTTCAAGCAATTCGCGTGTCGGATTGTCAAAATACTAATATATTGATCCCAAATTGAGAGTTTAAAAATTAATTCAACTTTATATCCTTTCAAATTTCTAAAATAAATTAACTCATGGCCTTATTGACTATACTTTGGAAGCCCAAATCTTGTAAAACAAAATTTCAATTTATATTTATAGACTTCACCTAAAAATATATACTAATGCTTTTAATTGTTATTTGCTAAATGAAAATTTGTATGACTACTTCTTGTATAAGTTACTAAATTAATAATTTTGTTTTGTTAAACTTGCAAAATTTTGTTTAGTTAAAATTATTTTGTTTATTAATCTGTCATCAATGTAATAATGCTATATAACTCTATTCAAAATGTTTTTCTAAAAATTGAATTTTTGAAAAATTTTAACAATTAAAGAAAAATTGGAACAATTGTTGAAGAAACTTTGATTTAGGTTGCCTTTTTCTTTTCATTTTCAAATTTCTCAAGTTATATATATATATTATGACTATATATTATAAACAAAATTATATTACAATTAATTTTTAAAAAAATATTTAAATTCTAATTACATAATACAAGTTCCGCCCAACCCCTAAATTATAAAACCTGATCCCGACCTTGTGAACATAGAGAAATCAAATCAGATAATTAACATCAGATCATATATTGGTTGGACTAAAATGTATTCAAACGGTGCTAAGGTACGAAAGTGGATGAAAAAATATATTTATGGGATGCTTGGTGATATGAGACCGAATATAGGAATTTTTTTTTTTTTTTGACCATAATATTTGTTTTTTTTTTTTAATACATATATACATTATGAATATGATCTTGTATCTAAGCAAAAATTTATCAAAAAAAAAAAACAAATGGTATAATTTGAATTTTTTGAATTGGTGGCATATTGTTTATGAAGGTAATAAACTTTAAAAATAATGAGAAAATTGATCAAAACCTAATTAGGGATATTTTCTCTTTTACCACCTACTCGTAATAATTGATATACAATTTTATCTTTATCTCTGACACTGGTATGGATAAGAAAGATATTATAATGACAGAAGCGCTTTGACTTATTGTGTACAATGATTGCGAACGAAATGGGAGGGTGGTTACTGATCCATCAATTCTCGTGGTAGCTTGTCACATGGTCGCACTCCTCCACATTTATCTCACCAAAAATGGTTAATAAAAGATCTCACAACTGAAAAAAAATATATATATATATATATAATAGGATCAAAATTCATTTTATCATTTTAATATATTATATTATGTTAATAGTAAAATATATTAAAAGCATTATATGTGTACTTGAATTTGTTGATATCTTATAAATTATAATATTATTTTAAAAAAAATTCTTACAAATAGATTTTAGGATTACAAATGTTAAATGTTAAATGTAAATGTATAATGAGTAACTTCCATCTTATCATTTTATCTCTATATTACGAAAGAAAATTGAATCATTAAAATTAACTTTTTAGTTTTCTCCAACGCCTCACTATAAAATATTTTGTCACCATAAAATATTTTGTAGTTGGAGATTGAATATCATCTCAAATAGTTACACATAGAGAGAATTTTAATGCTACTGTTTAGTTAACATCAAATATTATAAAAGTCAATAAATTATGTACTATTTATCAATAAAATAAATGAAATTAACATGAATTTGCACCAGAACTCATGAAAGGCATTAAGAATTAGATACCGAATAAAAGAAGTGAAATTAACATGAATCATGGTGACAAAATTATTTGCACGCATTACTCATGAAATGCATTCACATAAATCCAATGTTCGAGTAATTACAGAACAATCCTTTTTCTCAATCACAACATTTTTTTTGATAGGTCAATGGTATGACCTCAAGACTTGGTGTGGGCAATGTGTGTGAATACTTACATAATAAATAATTTTTTCTTCATTAATTTACTCTAAATAAAAAGTTGTAAACAATAATGCCCATCTCCACTCTTGAATTAAGATATTTAATCTCCCTACCAGCCTCTGATTTAGTCGTAAGCTCAATATTACTAAGTAGCAATTACCTCTACTATTATGTAGTCTTAATCTTTAATTTGCAACCCTTAATAGCAACCCGGTATTTTCTGGTGAACAAGTCAATTCTATTTTTGAAGGTAACAATATGGATATTTAATCAGTCAATTTATTAAAAAAAAATGTGTAATTAGTAAATGTGGTAAACTTATGAACCATCATAGCATGTTTTGTTGATCTACAAACATCAAGGCTTTTGGCCATCTCTTTGAAAATTCCCATAAAATTGACAAATAAAGAAATTACTTTTTTAATTACTTCATTCTATATTAGTTTTGGTCGACCTAGTTGCCTCTTACATTTGATGCAAATTAATCTTTCTTTTCTCAAGGGTACATCAATGAGTATCTATGCAAACTATGTTTCTTAAGCTTCTTAGAAAGAAAGCAATCAGATTTCATCTAACTAAAAGTGCCACTCATTAACTGATTCAAGGTCTTATGCAGTTTCTTTCCATGCCAGAGCACCTAGGCAATTACCCAAAGCAAATTAAAGGTATTCTTGTTAGTTGCACTTAATCTTTCATGTCACTTTGATCCCCAAAGTTCTTTTGGAGAGAGAGAGAGAAAGTAATGCTTCAAGGACTAAACAAGACATTTACATCCTAATTTTTAAAAACAAATACACATGTTTTGCTACGTCAAAATTAAAATAAAGTCATTTTTCGGTACATGTAGAATGGGGGACTGCAGGTGTCCGGTGGTGAATTATGAAATGCATGAAAAGCCTCTTCCTTGATTTTTTATGCTTTCACCAACTTTACAACAATGGAATTTTTGCTTCCAGAGGTTTCTCTTCCTTTATTTTTTATTTTATTTTTATTTTTATTTTATGGTTAGATGTTTGGTCTTCTCTTTAAAGAGAAATGAAAAGGAAACATTTTCACAGCATCACCTAAGGGGGCTATACATTTTCACAGCATCACCTAAGGGGGCTATACATGACCAATATTACAATATCCGAGGTACATGGGGGCAATATGGGGGGTCGAGAACAGCAGAGGGTAGGTGACTTATTAGGGGTTTGAACAATGGAGGGTTATAGATTGGTCATTGGTTTCACATGGGAAACCACTTACATTTCACAAATTATAATACTTTTTTGAAAAAAAATATTGTAATTTGTGATACATTTTTCGTTCAATAGTCTCTTATATATTCTTAATATAAAAATGATCTAAATATTTATAAACCAATAGTATTTCACAATCCATTAAGTTCATAAAATACAAAAAATGCATCCTATGTATGCACAAAAATAGACAAAATAAAATAAATAAGTTTATTGTACATATAGTGAGGTGTTTCATAGATTTAAATAAAATTAAACCTATGAAAATAATAATAATAATAATAATAATAATAATTGAACGATAGTAGGAGAAGAAGAAGAAAAGAGAGATAACTATATTAAGGCATTAACTTGATTTTTGGTATTAGTGTTGAACATACATATACTGATATTAGAAAAAAGAGGCACGGACCATAAATTATTATAAATATTTTTAATTTCAATTGAAAAAGTAGTGCTATTAGTGGGATAAAAGTCAAATTTTTTATTTTGGAGGGCCAATAAATAATTTTTAAGAACTTAATACTTGTTAGCACACCATGTAATATTAGTTTTAAAAAATAAAAAAATCATGTTCTTTTTGGGGAGAGAGAGTAATGCTTGCTTCCAGGATTAAACAAGACATCGTAATTCTCCGTGTATTTTATACTCTTGCTATTATTTTGCTCTTATAATATCTTTATCATATTATATTAATATGATAAAAGAAATCATGGTATTGATATGATGGATTGTACTCCTTTTTATTATATAATGATATCATGATCTTCATATGGCTGGATTTCTTGTTAACATGTATGAATATTGGTTACAAAAGGTCACTTGACATTTGACCTATTTGAAATTTTTTAAATGTATATTCATATATTGCGAAATTTACTATTAGATATTAGAGCAAATTAAAGTCGGCAAATATGGGAATCCACAAAAAATAAATCAAATACATATAAATCATATTTTACTTGAATTTGAGTCCATTGCACATCGTATTTATAATATTGAGAGACACTCGCTATATGCATAGTTTAATTACACCCTGAGTTTTTTGCCATTTTTGCTGCAGGTTGTTTAACACAGCCTACTTGTAGAATACAAAATCTTAAAAGTAATCATTTTGATATTGTTAATTACTAAAACCTCTTAATTGTCCTCAGAATGAAAGTTCACTAAGTATTAATCAACTCATTTAACTAATCGTGTCAAATAAATATATGTTAGAAGTGTTCCTTTTAACAAAACAAAAATATTGTGTTCGTGTCGAAATGAATTAAACGTGTCTTATTTGTATCATTTCGTTATATTTACTTATTATTTGCTATGTCATTTTAACATAAATAAATTAAAAGTTCATTCCCGGAGCTAAAATTACAAGTTAAATTCAATTGCTCAAATGGTGGTGCAACCAGAACCACCCAATCCCTTTTGATTGCCTTTCAAACCCTAGCAAGATTAGGCCTTCCCATTACGGAATTCACCTTCTCCTGCAGAGAATTTCAATGCCTGTAAGCGACACAATTGCCCATCTATCTCTTCCTAGTATTCAATCTCTTATTCTCATTCTTCTTCGTGGTTTTTCCTGTCGATTTGGCTATACACGAATGCATCTCATATGTCTCACTCATAGGCATGATGGCATGTCAGAATCAGAACCAAGGTAACTTCTTGTTCTTCGTCATCAAAGTGTCAAGTTTGAGCCAGAATTGGCTAAGAATGTCCCAATCGAGCTTGAGCGACTAAACTCCAGCTTAAGGTTAAGCTTGAACAGCTATTTTTGATCAATTGAGATGATTGCTCAGCTCTCTACTCTCAAGCTTAATTCCCGTCATCTCAACCTTACTTAATTAGTTTAAAATTTTCAATCCAGTATTGCACTTTTAGTGTGTCTCACAAGTACTCAGTCTCTCATGTTTCTTAAGCTTCTTAGAAAGAAAGAAAGCAATCGGAGAAACAGGCAATTACCCAAAGCAAATTAAACAACACTATATTCTTGCTAGATGCACTAAATCTTTTATGTCACTTTGATCCCCCAAAGTTCTTTTGGAGAGAGGGAGTGTAATGCTTCATGTGAGGACTAAATAAGACATTTACATCTTTAATCTCAAGAACAAATACACATGTTTTGCTATGTCAAATTAACATAAAGTCAATTTTCCTGGTACACTACCATTGTCGACAATATATATATATATATATATATATATATATATATATATATAAATAATAACAAAAACAACACAAATTAATTCAATTATAACCCTTTTTTCCATTCCTGCTCACATGGTGCAACCATCCAATCCCTTTGATGGCCTTTGAAATCCTCGCAAAATTAGACCTACCCATTCCCAAATTCACCTTCCCTGCCGAGAAATTCAATGCCTGTAAGCAACACATATGTCCATCTTCCTCTTCCTCTTCCTCCTCCTCCTCCTCATAGTCCTCTGTTCTGCCTTTCTTCTTATTCTTCTTCTTCTTCTTCTTCTTCTTCTTCGTGCTGCCATTCAACTTGCTCTTACTCGAATTCATTTCATACGTCTCCCAAAGCATATCCATCCCTTCATCACCACCACCACCCACATTGTGTCGCTCCTCAAACAGCTTGCACGCCAACGTCCTCTTCCACTCCTTGTCTTTCCTCATTGATCCATAGCTCCCAAGATTTGGAGCCACTTTTGGGGAACTCTCCATAACATTCGAATTATCAGCACTACTAACACTCTCACCAAGCCTCTCTGGTTTGGCGGTAACTTTTGAAGTGTATTCTCTTCCGTTATCAGGGCTAACTTTAGTCCTGTCATCCCATACTTCACTGCCCATCACCTTGGATCCACTTCCCACTGTTGACTCTTCTTTATCGGGTTTCGCACCCCCTGGCTCAACTTTCTTCTCTTCCACATTGTAACACATGTTTTCAAAATCATCCAATTCTTCACTCTTATTTCCCTCCATGACAGGCTGAGCTTTTTCTGGCTTAATTTCAACTGCTTTTGAATCAAGAGCCTGTAAGCAATCTTCTTCAGATTCTAACTCAGAAACTCCATCTGGGATTTCTCTAGCATCAAATATAGATGTTTCAAACACAGTTGTATAAGCTTCAAGCTCCTCCAAGTGATGAAATTCTTCGTTTTCATCATCATCTATATTTGAGTGTAGTCTCTCCATAACTGCATTGTATAAAGAGAAGATGAACCCCAATTTGGATCCAGACAATTCGCGTGCCGGATTGTTGTGGACAAGGCCGGGAGAGAGTGTGAGGAAAGCAAGGAGGAGGAGGGAGGTGGTGATGAAGAGAGGAGAGAGAAAGGAGAGGAGCTTGAGAAGGTATGGAAAGAAGAAGATGAAGTAAAAGATGTAGAGAGGGTGTGAGATAATGAAAGAACATATCTGGAAGAAGTCAAAGAGGAGGAAACTAGAGAATTGAGTCTTGTACGTGCTTGATAAGCACAGTTCAGCCATTTTTCTCATTGTTGAGAGAGAGAGAGAGAGAGAGAGAGAGAGAGAGAGATGCAAGCTGATGATGGAATAAAGAAGAAAGGGCTCTGGTCTTTGTTCTGTTTACCTAATGGGAGAGAAATGTATTGACTTTGGAAGTGAAAGCAGCGTGAACAAAGGAACGAGAGAGACTAAACCATAACAAACAATGGAAAAAAGAACCATCTTCTTTATAAAGTTTAACCTTCTCTAACCACCGAAAGCTTCACCTTTTCTAGACAAATTATCCAAATGTCCCTCCCTCTGGTCCTATAGAAAAAACTCTGGAGCAATTGTCACATTATCATATAACCATTAATTGCCATGTTCAGCCAAATATAATTTATCGCACAAAAGTAGAGGCTAAAATTGCCTGGAAATAGCAAAATGTGTGTACCTTAAGACAAGACCGTACTGTCAATGATTTAGCTCATTTTAGGGCACAACCATGGAGCTTTTGCTTCAAGAGGTATCTCTTCCTTAATTTTTTATTTTTATTTTTATTTTTATTTTTTTATTTTGAGGTTGGATGTTTTCAATACATGACCAATATTACAATATTTTATAACATGTATGTATGGAGCACAGAGAGATGTTTACCTAATCTCTAGATGGGTATACGAGGGTAACGGGTTGTTGAGAACAGGAGACAGTAGGTGATTACTGATTAAGGGTTTGAACAATGGAGGGTTATAGATTATAGAGTATATAGGTTTCACATGGGAAACCACTTTTAGCCACTCAGGTGCATGCATTCCCTGGTCCCCATCTTTTCACCTCAAGAGGGACCCATCTGTTTGTCTTTTGCCCTTCTAACTTTTTTCAGGAGGGTATTATTAATGTCTACTTGCACAACTTTTCCTTTACAACGTCAAAGCTTTGACCAGTAAAGCCGATGATTTGCCTCCATCGACTATCTAAAGATTCTAAAAAAACAAAAAACAAAAAAAAAAATAGCTTCATATCAATTTTTTTTTTAATTCAAAATTCTCATTAGTGAAACCCTGTTGATCCTCTCCTCGAGAAAGGAAACGAAGGAGATGGTTTCATGCTTCAGATACTTCCAATCACTCCAATAAGCAAGATTTTCCATACTTATTAGCAGAATCAACACAATCAGCCAACTAAATTTAAGAACGCATTGTCAAACACGCAAGAACATCTATTCCAAACTGAGTATATATAGAAAGGAAATTCTTACAAACTCGAAGTCCAAGAATAGTAGCCAAATTCACTTTAAACAAGTGCATACCAACAACCATAATTGCATTTAAAGATCTTCTCATCCTACCCCATGCTAGAAGAGCTGGATGCCCGCAAGTTGTATTTGATTACTCCGTCATAACAGGCTTATTCTCATTGGCCTTGGGCCTCTGTTCCTTCGGTTTCTGCTCTTCAGATTTCCTGGATTTCCCCAAAAAAAAAAAAAAAAAAAAAAAAAAAACACACAAACAAATGTCACAAACACGTCTAAAAATCGAGGACGACAACATACTACCGACAGATGTGAAAATTACATCCAAAAGTCCGAGAAACATGTCAAAAACATTACAGAAATAAGAAGAGATTATATCATATAGAGCGTTAGAGCCATCTGAAAATTTATGGTACTTATCCCAGCCCTAACAAGATGCAATGTATTTGATTCAAGCTGGGGAAAAAATCATCCCTTGAATGCTTTGAAAATAGAAGCTCCTAGTAATCACAAAATCAATGGGGCAAGGGGACAAGAGAACAAAATGACAACAGAACTTCATGAGGAATTCTGTTGTATAAACCACGGATTAGTTACAAAGAATTCCGTTGGTATTATCTTGATGGTGGCAACCCTTTTCAAGGAAAATGTTTCCAATGCGACAACAGCTGAAGCTATACGGGTTCATTACGCTCCCAAATTAGTTAATCAATGAGGATTTCAGTTTGTAGATTCTGAAGGGGAAAATTTAGCTATTAAGGGGCAGAGGTCATTCTAAACTCTTTGGCTTACTGTTATGTATGAAACACGTTTCCTTTTGAAGTAGAATGAGGATTTATCAAAATGGGGTGGATTGTAAAAAGATAATTCATCTCATGGCAGCTAATGCTTTAGGCAGGAAGATTTGTTATGTGTTTGAGGAGAACTGGCCCATGTGGGTTAGTGAAGTAGCAACTGCAGAACGCGTCTCTTTCAAATAGTTCAATGAAATCTTCTGCACTGCCAGGAGAAAAGAGGGAAAGGAAAAAACACTACCGATCCTCAAACTCCTTTTTCTTTGACAGTGGCAACACAAATCAGTTTGCGCTTAAATTGTATACTTGATTATGAAAGATAACAATTTAGAAGTAGGGAACTGGCAGTTTTATCTTCCTGTTTCAAGGAATAAGCTACTTAATTTGTCTTTTCATTTAAGATTCATCAATTCTTCCACAGTTTCACCCTTTTTCGTTGAAATGCATACAGCTGATAATGCCACTTTGTGCAAAATAATACTAAAAATTTCTTTCTTTATTCTTTTCCCCCCAATATCCAAAAAAATCCTATCAATCTTATTCCCATGACATCAAAATTCTTTCCAAAAGACTCAATGTCCAAAACCCATTTAGTTTTCCTCTTGAATTTGCCTAGGCACTCATTAATTACTTTTCAAGTGTGGAATATAAACCTAACATTTAGACATACCAGTATGCCACTAATAATTTATTCTTTCTACCCACTAGTAATTGGCCAAGCCCAACCTAGAGCATTTGTTTCTGAAGCTCTCTTGTGGCTTGGACTTTTATATACAGGCTTCTTGTATTTGGACCAAGACCAAATTTTGTAAAACTAAACCAAAGTTCAGGTCTTGTTCGTCCATTCAACACTTCGACACTCCTAGGATTTGTTGCATTTTTATATTTTGCATTTTTTAACATTTGAGCCACTATATATACATAGACCAACATACCTAAAGCGACCTAAACCCTACCCCCAAGTCTCCAGTAACAAAATCATTATTCATGAAATTTCAAGAGCCGGTGCAAGCAATTGGAGCAAATAATGAATAACCTCACCACAACCCCTACATTAAAGGCGGTTAAAACCACTTAGAGCGTGGCCGTGCAATGCTTATCTTGAGTAAGGATCTGAGTTTTCCTTTCATTTTCCTTTCGTTTTTCCGTTTCATTAGTTACATATTGATTTTGATATTGATTTGGCAAAGGCAAGAAGATTCTGTAGATTATATATGTAACAAATGATTCAATGAAACTAAGAACCAGAAGGAAAATCCTTATTCAACATCAGCATGGCACATCAATGTTCCTTTAATGGCTCAAATGAAGGGGTTCATAAACAAATAATGAATTTCTTGCTTGAGACTTTGGTATAAAAACGAACCAAATCCTAACAGTGTCATATGTCCTAGGTTGGGCACCCACCCAACACTCAACAAGGCTGGACAAGCTCTGAATAATGAATATTTTTCATTATATATAATCATCGGCCATTGCATGCAACCCTACAGTTGAAATTCTAGAATCCAAGAATTAGCCAATACCAAAAGAAAAGCCCAAGAAAGTCGAAACAGAACAACACAGATTTTCGCACATCAAACATGTTCTTTTATTCATATGAGAACCTACCAATCAATTGAAAATAGAGTTGCATTTGAAAATTCATCGAATTCCAATCGATTAGAAACGGAATGCAAAACATAACACACAGCAAACACACATTCTAATTTATTATTAGAATACTGATATAAAAATTTTAAAAATCTAAGAGATACAAAGGATATATCGATTAATGCTACGAATATATTATGAAAATGTGTGTGTTCGAGTTTGCGTGTAAATATATATACATATATATAGAGAGAGAGAAATACCTTTTGTCAGAGGAGCCTCCCTTCTGGCTAAGGAAGGATCTGAAGAGAGGAGAGTTCACGTCGTAGATCATCGTAGATGGTTCTGGTTCGTCCACACTTCCACAAAAAAACACAATTTAGTAGAACCCTAATCCTCAGGTAGCGCAACTAAACATACGGTGCACGGTGAACTGGCAGAGGGGTCGACCCGACCCAGCCCATAAAACGAACTCAAACTCACCCGAATTTCAAATCAAACTTTCCAAAATAAGTTCAAAATTTTCAACTGGATTGTGTACGGATTATAAAATCCGGCTAATGGTGCCATTACTATTCTTGTGTATGGTTTAGTGATGTTGTTTGATAAAATTAAAAATTTTAATTGCTGATTATTTAAGTGCTAACTTAAAATATGTGAAAATTTCTTTGTTATAGTCTGATTTTTTTATGTTAAATTTATTAGAACTGATTGATAAGTATAATTCATTGAATTCTGAAATTTTGTTAAGTTTGCAATTTTACTTTAAATGTCTTAAAATAAGATTTTTCCAAGGTTTATGATCATAAAACTAAAATAATAATAATTATTATTATATAACAACAATTACCACTCAAAATTATCAAATTATACAAAGGGACCTTAATGTCATACTAATTGTAAGTTGTAATTTATCCAAAAATAAAAAAGGTAATTGCAAGTTGTAAGTTAGAGAATGAGTAGTTTTAAGTTATACAAATTATGGACCTCTAACCCAATTTTTTAATCTTTCGAAAAAAAATTTTAAAAAAAATAGTTATACAAATTAGCATGAGCATAAATATGAGAATTAACCAATTTAATTTTTTTTTTTTGCTGGCAAGAAACAAATAAATACATAACTCACATATTTATTTTGTCTTTTTAGAGACAAACCCTCAACATTTATTTTGAGAAGTAGAAAATATACAAGTAGGTGACAAGGCCTTAAAAAAGTTTAAAAATAATAAATTTATTTTCAATTGATTAAAATATAAACATTACCATAGCTCGTTTAACCAAAGTAAAATTTCACATAATCAAGTCACTCGTCTCAATTTTAATCACATTATAAGGATTATATAGGGATGTCAACTCATTACATACTTCCAAATTTATAGAAAAAGAAGTAACATGGGTCATAACTAAACACAACACACGAAAATCACACATTTTTGTCGAGCTTGGATGTGTATATATGTATATTTATATCTATACCTATATTTATTTATATTTATACTATTATTAAAAGTACAAAAAGTTTTAATATTTCAAAATATCAATAACAAAAATTTAATTAGGAAATTTTTAATAATAATAATAATATAGTAGTAGTAGGAAATACTGAAATTCTATAAAATGAAATATAATTATAGAATAAAATTTATAATATTAAAAAAATTATTTATTTGATTCATTAAAAGAAAATCTAATTAGAAAAGAAAAAACTAATACTAATAATATAGTAGTAGGAAATACTTAAATTCAATAAATAAAAATCTAACTAGAAAAGAAAATATATAATATTAAAAAACTTATTTAATAATATAGTAGTAGGACATACTAATAATAATAATAACATGATAGTAGGAAATCTAATTAGAGAAAGAAATATATAATATTTAAAAACTTATTTATTTAATTCAAGAGTTTCACTGTTTCAGTACATTAATTTATTTAAATAATATAATAGTAGGAGATACTAATAATAATAATATAATAGTAGGAAATACTAAAATTTAATAAAAGGAAATCTAAATTGGGAAAGAAAATATATAATATTAATAAATTAAACTAGTGAAATTTAATTTAAAAAATCTAATTAGGGAAATACTAATAATAATAATATAGTAGTAGGAAATACTGAAATACAATAAAAGGAAATCTAATTCACTATAATCATGTAGAGATATTACAGCAGTATATAATTTTTCACACATACACATAAATTTTTACCCAGACTTCACTAATACCCAACAATGCATGCATTGCCCTCTCCTTCTCATAGCTCTCAACAATAACTAAGTACTCCATCTATCTCAAAATAAGTGTCCTGTTTTGGGAACCGTGACTCACAAAACTTGACACTTATTTGGGACAAAAGGGGGTATCTATTAATAGATTTTAAAAAATGAAATTGAATTTATTTAATAAATTACAATTCTAAAATAGAAACCAATTTACAATAGATAGAATTTGACACAAAATCTAACACGATTGACTCAATGTTAAAATACTCTTGCATGCAAGAATTCCCCAATTTGAGAAATAGTAGCCAAAATAATTGCAGATTAGCTTACAATTTTTTATCTTTAACCATCTATGTAAGTTGAACGGATCTAAAAATGCATAATAGAGTGGGCTAATCTATTCTGGGGTGTGTGACGGCCTAAATTCTCAAAACCCAGTGCGTCAGCGAGTTACGCGAAACTAACCCGATAACGGATCCCAAATGTGAAAGCAATAAAAGAGAAGAGATCTCTAGAGATGAATACCATCTCTAAGACGGCAAAGTAACCTTCTAAGAAGTCACGAGGCTCAAAAGGAAAATGAAAGCGGAAGATAAGACTGAAATGAACCGAAGGCAAGGACAGGGGTAAATTGGTCATTTTACCCTAAGAGAATGAAATTTGACTCTCAACAAGTAAAATGAAATCAAAAGTATTCAATAATATCCTTTGGTAACCTCATATGAAGTTCTAAGGTCATTGGAAAAGAAATCCCAAGTAAACCCTAACCCGGTTCGAACCAACTCCCGATACTATTCCACAAAAATGATCATATCTCTCAGTACAAAATGAATCTGAAAATGGGATTGGTACTATTGAAAAACTGACTCGAAATCCTTAAATTTAGGCTCAAGAATCACCTAATTTGGATTTTAAATGAGTAAGATATGATCGTTTGAAGAAAGAGGACCAAAAAGAGAACTAACAAGTCATCTGTGCAAGTAGATGACCATCTAATCGAGTACATCACCCATCTAACCGACTACATCACGTATCTAACTGGTTAGATAAGCTAGACAACAAGGAAAATGTTCTGCCAGGGCCATCTAATCGAGTAGATTACACATTTAACCGATTATATAAGGTCCTGAAGCAACATTAGCCAAGAAATTTTGGAAAAATGTACTATTTTGACAGCCAAGATGTGATTTTTTGAAAAAAAAAACTTGTAAAGTAACCTCCCCTAAAAATGTGTTTTTGGATCAACCATGATTTAAACTAAGATTGAAAAACAAGGAAAAATGATGAAATACCCCCAAGTGAATGCAATATCATAGAGATGAAAACATGATACAATTCGATATACTTTCAAAATAAAGAAGTGTTTGGCCCTTAACCTCATTACAGAAATGTCAAAGAATAATCAAAATAAAACATTTAAGTTTACATTATGTGCCTAAAAGGAAGCAAGCTATGCTTATAAAGAAGTTATACAATTACAACATCAAAACTAGTTAAAACATGCTAACACTTACATGTCAAATGTACACAATCTCAAAATAAAACAACATATATGTAATGACCATGTCACAATCTCAAAATAAATGTACACTATGCATGCAACTCCAATGCACATGTATGTATTCGACACCCACATAGTACATACTCACAAGAACAAATCACATAAACTAAATAACACCTTACAAACATACTAAATAGTCTACATAAGGCAATCAAATAATCAATCTATCACATAGGGGCCAAATAAGCAACAACACGCCATATATCACTAATGACACTGGCATATTAAACAGATATAACGTATGAAAAACACATCATCTCTATTACCACACAAAACCAACACATAGCCACATATCCTTAAACATGTCTCTAAGGCATGATCAAAAACGATAAGGCATATAAATATATAAGGGTGACTATACATATTATACATAATGAAGCCATAAAATCACAAATAAAATGGAATGCCTCTCAAAAGGACCACTGAATAACATGACAACACAAAGCAACAGTTGTAATAGATAGTTCCAACATTAACCATCACAGGACATCTACAAAAAAAACATACCTCAAGATGCCAATGAGTCCGATATGAACTCTATAAGATTCTACCGGAAACCTAACACATAATCCCAAGTCTCTAATGACAAATGAGAGTAATTAATTGCACCAATGCAATTAATCACACGAAACCACTCACATCCTAACCATAGCTCTTAAGAGCTACCCAAGACAAACACAAGAATGATCCTAGGTCAACACACCTATCAGTCCCTAAACCATTACTCTAAGAAGATAGGACATGAGAACTTTGTCGTTGAGGCTCACAGAAACAAATCTCTTATTTCCCAAGGAAGAACTCGAGTCAATCCTAACTCACTGTCCCAAAACACTATGAACAAATAAATGATGTCACCGCATAAAGATCACCACGAAGCCCTAAGAGATGATACCAACACCTCAGACACTACCACGACTACGTCACAAAGTAACAAAGGAAAATGAGACGAAACGGTGCCTCCATGGCCCACGTCTCATTCCGCCAAACAAAGACTACTACCCTACGCTCACACGAGCCTCACTCACATAAACCATCAACCCAAAATCTCAAAACTCCCAAACCGACAAAACAGATAAGAAGGTTCCCGCCGTGGAAACCTTACAAAACGAATCCCTTCTACCTAAGAGAGAAGTCCTAAATGACAAAGATGTGTATAAGAATACTATGGACTCCAAGAGACAATGCCCTAGCATTAATCTCACCCAACCGAGCATGAATAATCCACAAAATCAAAACAAGATACGTAGTAAACATGAAACTACTAAGGTCTTACGCATCACAAAAAAAATCTCATGTTGTTACTACAATCAGGTTAAACACGTAGAATACATTCATTTATGCATATAGGCACACTAAACATTTAGCTTATAACATGGCAACAAAACTACATACTTATACAAGTAGCAAACAAACCACATATGACATGCTCAGTCACTTAGCAAGTAGATAAAAATCAAAACGAACAGTGCAAGTTATAACTACCATGCTCATAACCTAACACAAGGTTGACATAAACACTTAACACTTAATTATGCTCAATAGCTAGCATACATCATACGTTATGCTTAATACTTTAAATTCAAATCATGTTAGATAAATAG